AGAATACTCTAGGCCGGATAATGGAATAGGTTCAGGGTAAAGAGCCAGGGATGGATGATAGAAACCAGGATCCAGCACAATTATTAGAATAAGGAGAGGCCTAAGAAGGATACGAACAATGCCAGAGATATATGCTGTGAGGAAGTATGTACTACATCTGTTTAATACACAAATGGAAATAGAACCAATTAAAATTGAATAAATGACCTATTGTGTATGTAAGCAATGAGAACTTGTGGATTTTTTCAACATTAATTCTTAAACTGTTTTAACATAAGAACATAAGAACTAGGAGCAGGAGTAGGCCATCTGGCCCTTTGAGCCTGCTCCGCCATTCAATAAGATCATAGCTGATCTTTTCGTGGACTCAGATCCACTTACCCGCGTTCTCACCGTATCCCTTAATTCCTTTATTGTTCAAAAAAAATCTACCTTTTTTTTAAAAACATTTACTGAAGTAGCGTCAACTACTTCACTGGGCAAGGAATTCCATAGATTAACAACCCTCTGGGTGAAGAAATTCCTTCTCAATTCAGTCCTAAATCTGCTCCCTCTAATCTTGAGGCTATGCCCTCTTGTCCTAGCTTCACCTGCCAGTGGAAACATCCTCTCTACTTCTATCTTATCTATACCCTTCATAATTTTATATGTTTCTATAAAATCCCCCCTCAATCTTCTGAATTCCAATGAATATATTCCCAATCTACTCAGTCTCTCCTCATAAGCCAACCCACTCAACTCCGGAATCAACCGAGTTGGCTAACGCTGGCTATCCTTGTATATACTTGAATAAACAATCCTAATCTTTATCTAAAACACACAAAATATGGCAAGGAGAATGGGATTCAGGGAATTTGGGGCCAGGAAACACTTGAAATAGAGCCCATATTGATGGGCCAACCTGTAGACACAATATAATCAACTACCTTTCCGCACTAAACTTGGCACTTTGTCAATACTTTTACACAGTAGAGCATAAGAAGAAAGGTCAATGTGACTATTTTTGGCTGCTTTGGGCCAGGAAAAGGGCCAAAGGGACACTGAAAGTATTAAACAAGGATTAAACTGTTTCTGTTACAATTGCCTTTAAGCAAAATAAGATGAAAGCAGAAAAGCGAAGAACAGAAGATTAGCAGCAGTATTCTAGTCAGGATAAGGATTGAGACTAGGGGCAAACAGCCAGAGCAGGGGTGGGTTATATAAACAAGGATTCACAGTCAGCAGGATAATAGAGGCCTTGCATGGACAAGAATGATACCTGATGTATACATAACATATTATATAGTGAGAAACAAGTAAACCATATCTAAATTATTCTTGTGAATTGACCAGATTAAAATGGAGTATGTGATCTAAAATGTATACAAGGGATTAGAATTTATGGTTTTTGTTTAGAGATTGGTGTTAGAGACTGTTGAAGCTGGCTTTCCTAGCATCTGCCAGAATAAACAACTTTAACCTGTACCTGATTCTCCCAGTGGTTTGTCAAGTTGTACCATATCAACATAGTAGCTGAGGTTGCAGACAACACCAAGATAATAGGAAAGTATGTTGTTAAGAGGACATAAGGAAGTTACAAACAGATATATATAAGTTGAGTGAATGCTCAAAAGTCTGGTAGAAGGAGTACAAAAGAAGGAAAAAGTAAAGTTGTTCACTGTTGGAAAGAATAAAAAAAAGAGCGTTACTTAAATGGAAATGACTGCAGAATTCTGAGATACAAAGGCATTTGAGTATTCTGGTGCATAATTCACAAAAGCTTAGTATCTAGTACAGTACATAATCAAGAAGGCTAATAAAATGTTTTCCTTTCTTATGAGAAGGTTTGAACATGAAAGCAAGGATGTTATGCTTCAGTTATACAGGACACTGGTGAGGCCACCTCTCAAATACTGTGGACAGTTCTGATTTCCTTATTTAAGGAAGGATGTAAATGCATTTGAGGTGGTACAGAGAAGATATGCTGCATTGATATCTGGAATGAATCTTATAAGGATGAGTTGGACAGACTGGGCTTGTTTGCACTGGCACCTAGAAAAGTGTTACCCTTTTAGAATGGAGATGAGGATAAGTTTTGATGTGTGACTGAAACTTTCTGCTTCAGAGGCAGTGGAGTTGGGGCCGTTGAATATTTTTAAGACAGAGGTGAATAGATTCTTGTTAGGGTAGGGAATCAAGGATTATCAGGTTCAATATGAATGTGGAGTTCAAAACACAAACAGAGTAGCCATGACCTGAATGGGGTTGAATGGTCTATTTTTGCCCATATTTTATATGTTCCTAGGTACACCATAAAACAGGTTGGCCATCACCAGGTCTAAGGGCAATAAATGGCTTGTGGGTGTAAGGATGATGACTGGAGTAGAAGGCATTAAGTGAATGTAAAGTGTGAGAATGTCACGGTGCTTCGTGTAACATCATATGCTCTACAGACATGTGAAAAGTGGCTCAAGATGGTGACCTAAAACTGAAGCTCAGGAAAGTAAGGTTGAGGCAGATGAAGGCATTTTCAAAGTTTATTTCTCTGCATGTTGCAATCTTTCTTCCTGCTGTCTTTTCCACTCCAGCTGACTGTCTTACGGCTCCGAAAAACTACGCGTTTTCAGCAGTACAATTTGGTACCATATTGCAAGTGATTGTGTTTAATGGCTGCAAACAAGGGCACTAACAGCAGTGCTCGAGGTCACATGACTGTGGAAAGCCAGCCAGATTATTAAGCAGGCTGGCTTGAGTAGATAAAGAGAAACTGTTCCAGTTCTTAAGAGAAAAACGATTGAGGGGGCATAGGTTTAAAGTGACATGCAAAAGAAGCAACAGGATGATATAAGAAAAAGAACTTTTTCACATAGTGAATAGTAATTGTTAAAGACCGGCTGTCCACAGAAATTCATCAACCTCCACCGTCTCTTCCAGGACATGATGTCGGTAATGGTCCTCACCGACAGTAATATGACAGAATCCGTTGAGGTCAAGACAGGGGTCAAGTAGGAATGTGTCATCACCCCCACGCCCAGCCTTTTCTCCACCTTTGTCGCTGCTTTCTTCATCCTGTCAAGAACAAGCTTCCCTTTGGTGCGGACATGACAGAAACCTTTTCAACATGAACCAGTTAAAATTCTCCACAGAAGCATACTGTAGGATTAGTCTCGGCCTCAACCGCAAGAAGACTCAAAACCTTTGCAGATGCTGAACAATGACAGTTTTCGAGCCCATGACACCTGTACTGATATCTAGCTCCTTGTGTATAAGGCAGTCATCCTTTGAGTCTTCTATATGGCTCAGATACTTGGACGACATATAGATGCCTCCTCAAGGACCGATTGAAGTACCGTAAACACTGTTTGAGATGGGTTCTCTGCATCAGCTGGGAGGACAGGTGTACTAACGTCCATGCCCTTGAAGCAGCCTACAGCAGCAACATCGAGGCCATGATCATCTGAAACCATCTCCACTAAGCTGGCCCTGAGCTTAGGATGCCTGAGTTCCGACTGCCCAAGCAAATTGTCTTTGCCCAGCTCGAGGAAGGCAATTGAATGAGAGAAGGACTAAGGTAGTGTTTCAAAGACTCCCTGAAGGCTTCTGTCAAGAAAAGTAACATAGGTGGCAATGGATGACAGACCCTCATTCAGAAGAAACTGATTTAGAGTAAGTCCCTGTCCTAAGGGTCACAATTCTTTGAGAAAACCCTTTGGCAAGAGGAAGTGTAGAAAAGTAACTGGAGATAGGAATGTCAGTTAGTTCAAAACCAAGAACCTCCTGGACACACCTGCCAAATGTGTGGTTGGAGATGTGGGTCTGGGATTAGGCTCATCAGCCACACAAGGATCCATAGAATCAGGACCAGTGACACAGAATTTCCTCGGTGGACAATCACACTCATTAGCAAGTCATAGCTGATGACAATTTGGGTATGGAATGCATTGCCTGAAAGTTTGCTGGAGGCAAGTTCACTTGGCAGATTCTATAGTGTACAGGAACGGGGTGGGGGGGGGGGGGGAACAGTCAGGAGACTGGCATTAAGGAATAGAACTGGTGTGGACATGATGGGCTAAGTGGCCTCTTTCTGCACCTTAACAATTTTGTAATTCTGAGGATACAATTGTATTTCTCCAACACATTTAACACTTAGTTGTCAGAATGTTGTTGACTCCCCAGCTTCTCCTTAGGTTTTCAAACTATGAAATAAAGCGAGTTTTCAGAAACCTGCGCACCACGCACCAATAATACTGGGGGGCAGCAGAAACCATCCTCCCCTCTCAGGCTGTCAGTGTAACCCCCTGCCCAAATCTTCTCTAGCTACCGGAGCTCTGAGTGGAGCACTTGTTCAATAGAATGGAATGCACTGCTTTATATTGTGGTCTGTTCAGTTATCGGATTCCCCCTCCCCCCCAACGCCTCAAATAAATGTAAATATAACCTTGTACAAGTAAGAAATGCCTTTGGTTTGCTTGTTGGACAGTGTCAAACTCCAATGTTTGTTTCATCATATGCCACTGTACAGAACCGAGGTGCTTTAGTGACTATGTAAGTATATAAAAATATTTTGTGAATAAAAAGTGCTTTATAGTGTGGAGACAGTAAGGAGTGCAGATGTTGGAAGCTAGAGTCAATAAATGTGGAGCTGAAAAAGCATAGCACGTTGATTTTCCTACTCCTCCGATATTGTCTGACTTGCTGTGCTTTTCCAGCTCCACAGTGCTTTATATAGTGGTGAATTGGGAATTGGGCAAACATCTAAGTAGTCAAAGAGAGATGGCTTTGAGAAGGACGGCGTCGTGGGGACTAGCCAAAGAGGACACTCCCTTGTCAATTACCATTCCATGATTCTCTCTGTCCCGCCCACTGTCTTCAGTTAGCGGGAACGTTCACAGTGCTGAGGGCTGTGTGTGTTAGTGCGGCGGCCTGAACTAAGGTAGGGGTCAGTGCGAGAAGTTGCTGCTGTTTTTTTTCTCAGTCTCGGTGACTGAGCGCCGGACATACCTCTTTGTCCTCCTTATCGCTGTGAGGTGGCGGTAGCATTTTGCTGTGGTCCTCTATATTCAGCTATACCCGGGCAGTATGTACGCTGAGAGCTGCTTTGCACAACAATAGTGTATGGGAGAAGAAGTGTAAGATCGATTTTGTACTTGGGAGATTGCACTTACATTTGTTGAATTTCCTCTTTAAGAAATGTATTTCGCTGTCCATCATTCCTTCTGTATCTGCTGAATTAGGATTTTAGAACTGGAGCGGAGTTTATTTCTGGGTTTAAAACAGCAAACATCTGCCTACAGTTAATTCTCAGCTCGTTCCGGGAAATTTGATTTGACGTGTTTGTGCGAAGCTTCATGGTTGACTTTTTGAACCGCACCCCAAATTTCGGCGGATCTTGTACACAAAGGAATTGAACCTATGATTGCTATCTTGATATTATATCGCAAATCTTAAAAACAAAAACGGGGAATGGGTAAATACAACTTCCACACGATCCGCAAATGAAACAATTTGTAGTAATACAAAAGTAAAATGATGCTGATACTGGAATCTGAAGTAAGGTCACCGACCCGAAACACTAACCTCTTCAGGGATCTCGTATGACCCGCTATGTATCCAGCATTTTCTGTTTGCGTTGTGGTAGAGATTCCCTCAGCAGAACCACTTCATGTTAAAGCACAGTTCAGAACTGGAACCATTACAGCTTCTGATGCTGATGTATAAGGGTAACTTGTTACTCTATAATGTAACATAATTCACTAATGAATTGTTGAATGAAATTGTGATCTAGTAACCAATATTACAGCATCACCAAACAACAAGTTTGGACAACACACTTTAAGTGTTTTTGTTTTGCCCCATTAGTACAATGTGAATTACGGCTAAGGGCCTAAACTGATGCAGGGCTGGAATAGTGTAGATGTCATTTCATTTTGCAGTCGATTCTGGGCTTGTTACATAATAATGTGATACCAATTTCAGCATTGCTGTGAATCCAAAGCTACAGTGTGCTAAACCTGTGTAAATAAGACAAAAAAATCTGTACTGTGGGAAGAATGAAGGGACATAAATAAGTGTCAGAAATCGCTGAGAAAGCCATGGCACATTGATACAGCAAGTCATTTGTTGTCTAGGATTACACACAATGTGACATGAGGGGGCAGGGATATCAGCTACTATGTAATTAAATATGTCCGAGCCTGCTTTCATTCCAATTGAAATAACTTCTGCCATTTAGTTTTGTTCTTGTTTAAGTTCTCATGAACCTTGATGCAGAAAGGGCTTACTGTTTAGTTAACAGATTGCATAATGGTAATTATTGTTAATCTTTGTTTACATAATCTTGTGTGGACTGGTTGTATGTCAGAGTCGTAGAGCTATACAGCTCAGAAGTTGTTGCTTCAGTCCAACCTCATCTATAATTAATCTAGTCCCATTTGCCAGCATTTGGCCCATATACTTCTAAACTCTTCCTATTCATATACCCAACCAGACGCTTTTTAAATATTGTAATTGTACCAGCCTCCACCACTTCTGTTGGCATACACACAGCACTTGCTGCGTGAAAAAGTTGCCCCTTAGGTCCCTTTTAAATCTTTTCCCCTCTCACCTTAAACCTATGCTCTCTGGTTTTGGACTGTTCCCACCCCAGGGAAAAGACCTTGGCTATTCACCCAATCAATGCCCCACATGATTTTATAAACCTCTAAGGTCACCCCTCAGCCTGCCGGGCTCCAGGGAAATAGCTCCAGCCTATTCAGCCTCTCCCTATAGCTCAAACCCTCCAATCCCAGCAACATCCTTGTGAATCTTTCCTGAACCTTTTCAACTTTAGCAGCATCTTTCCTATAGCAGAGAAACTAAAAGAATTGCATGCAGTATTCCAAAAGTGGCCAAACCAATGTCCTGTATGGCCATAACATGACCTCCCAACTCCTATACTCAATGCACTGACCAATAAAGGCAAGTGTACCAAATGCCTCCTTCACTATCCTGTCCACCTGCGACATCACTTTCAAGGAACAATGAACCTGCACCCCAAGGTCTTTTTGTTCGGCAACACTCCCCAGGACTCTACCATTAAATGTGTAAGTCCTGTCCTGATTTGCCTTTCCAAAATGCAGCGCCTCACATTTACCTAAACTAAATTCCATCTGTGAGATAACCTCCTTCCCTGTCTACTACACCACCAATTTTGGTGTTATCTGCAAACTTACTAACCATTCCTCCTATATTTACATCCAAATCATTTATATAAATGACAAAAGGTAGTGGACCCAGCACTGATCCTTATGGCATACCATAGGTCAAAGGTCTCCAATCAAAAAAACAACCCTCCATAACCATCCTCTATCTCCTACCTTCAAACTAATTTTGTATCCAAATAGCTAGCTCTCCCTGTGGAACCTTGCCTAATGCCTTGCTGTCTAATGCCATAAAGACAACATCCACTGTTCTGCCTTCATTCGTCTTCTTTGTCACGTCTTCAAAAAACTCAATCAAGTTAGTGAGATACAATTTCCCACACACAAAACCATATCCTTACCTTGCCTAATACTTGTAAATCTTGTCCTTCAGAATCCCCTCTAACAACTTAGCCACCACTGATGTCAGACTCACCATTTCCTTCCCATTTCCTCACCACCTTTCTTAAATAATGGCAACACATTAGCCACCCTCCAGTCTTTCAGCACCTCACCTGTGGCTATGGATGATACAAATATCTCAGCAAGAGACCCAACAGTCACTTTCCTAGCTTCTCACAAAGTTCTGGGGCAGTACCTGATCAGGTTCTGGGCATTTATCCACCTTTATGCGTTTTAAGATATCCAGCACCACCTTTTCTATAATATGGACACTTTTCAAGATATCACTGTTTATTTCTCCAAGTTCTGTACCTTCCATATCCTTCTCCACTATAAATACTGATGCAAAATACTTAAAAGTATCTCAGCCATACCCTGCAGTTCCACACATGGATGGCCTTGTTGATCTTTAAAGGGCGCTATTCCCTCCCGAGTTACTCTTTTGTCCCTAATGTATTTGTAGAATCTGTTTGGATTTGCCTTAATACTATTTGCCAAAACTATCTCATGTCCCCTTTCTGCCCTCCTGATTTCCATCTTGAATATACTCCTACTGTCCTTGTACTGCTCCAGTTATTCACTTGATCCCAGTTGTCTATACCTGACACATGCCTCCTACTTTTTCTTGACCAGTGTCTCTCTTTCTCTAGTCATCCAGCATTCCCTACACCTACCAGCCTTGCCCTTCACACTAACAGGAACATAATGCCTCTGGACTCTTGTTATCTCATTTTTGAAGGCCTCCCACTTTCCAACTGTCCCTTTACCTGTGAATGGCCTCTCCCAACCATCTTTTGAAAGTTCTTACCTCATTCTATCGAAATTGACCTTCCTGCAATTTAGAACTTTAACTTTTAGGTCAGGTCTATGTAGGATTGGATTGATTAAAACAAAATTTAGGAATTATCAGTTAACACCAAGGTGTGGCTTCTAATTTCATTTTAACAAGATGCTTAATTTTCTACATTTTTTTCATGATTGCACAAGTCCTGCAAAACCTTTGTGCACAGATGTGGATAAATAGGACTAGGTTTGGTTGTAGGGCCTGTGCACTCAAATAGCCTCCACCTGATTTCTCTCTGGGGAAATAAATGTCAGGACTGCTTCTTGGTCTTGAACTTGCCCCAAGGTGTAACTCTCATTGGCCTGGAATTTTCACAGGGAGTTGCCCCTTTAAATTGGCATGAACACGGGTCCTCTGCTAAGTGATGATTAAGTCTATGGTAACAAAGGTTATAATTATCTTTTTGTTTCAGGCTTGTGGTTATTCCCTGAAGATGTTTGCAAAGGCAACCAGCAGTTTTGTGAAACAGATTGAGAGCAGTGGTGACCTGATCCCTGTTAGCAGCCTGAATGATTCCGACAAACTGCAGCTTCTGAATCTGGTAACAAAGAGGAAGAGGGGATGGTTCTGGAAGAAAGCAAAGTACTATCCGTCCACTTTTACCCTTCAAGACATATTGACTGGTGACAGTTCCATCAAACCTGGTATGGATTTTTGATTGACTTCTAAGAACTTAGTGCAGAGAGTTAGTAAAATGTTCGGTTCTCGCTCGGTTGATTCCAGAGTTGAGAGGGTTGGATTATGAGGAGAGACTGAGTAGACTGGGATTATACTCATTGGAATTCAGAAGAGTGAGGGGAGATCTTATAGAATCATATAAGATTATGAAGGGAATAGATAAGGTGGAGGCAGGGAGGTTGTTTCTGTTAGCAGGTGAAACTAGGACTAGAGGGCATCGCCTCAAAATAAAGGGAAGCAGATGTAGGACTGAGGTCAGGAGGAACTTCTTCTCCCAAAGGGTTGTGAATCTGTGGAATTCCCTGCCCAGTGAAGCGATTGAAGCTACCTCACTGAATGTTTTTAAGGCAAGGCTAGATAAATTTTTGAACAGTAAAGGAATTAAGGGTTATGGTGAGTGGGCGGGTAAGTGGAGCTGAGTCTCAAAAAGATCAGCCATGATCTTATTAAATGGCGGGGCAGGCTCGAGGGGCCAGATGGCCTATTCCTGCTTCTAGTTCTTATGTTCTTATCGTTCTGAGTAGAAAGGGTTGAAAAATTATTTGGTCGAGTTTAAAAGTGGGAATTTCTTTGTACAGTCGAGGCAATGCTGTGGAGCTTATAAAGTGGCAGGCAGGGTCTAGCTAGGGAAGTCCCACTCACATACTGGGTGGGTCCAATTTTTACTGGGAGGGAAAAGTGCACAGGTCATGGTTCACGTACAAGTGAAACCAGAACCCAGCCAGGGTGTTGTAAAATTCTGAAGTATCTATTCTAACACTTATTTGTGTGTTATCAAACAATAATCTCATTATGTTCTTCACTGCCATTTTAAAACAAGTAACATCACAAAGTTTCACCTTGACTGAATTTCAATCAAGCCATTCATCTAAAAACAGTTACGAAGTACAAAGATCTTCTTTAGGGACAGTGCACAGCTGTCCGCTTGGGAATCCCCTTCTAAAGCCAACACTTCCTGAATTTCTGTTTAATCATTTGGAGAGAGCTGTGACAGCTCTTGAGACTGAGCAAATAAGGTAGTTTGTAACTTCTGCTTATTTATTTCAAACACTCTGTGACCAGAAATCTGTTTATGAACTTAACACTGCCAACAGGAACACCAAAATCACAAGAATTAATATAAACAATAGCTTTACGTGGGATGTGGGTGTCACTGGATAGGCCAATGTTTATTGCCTATTCCTGATTACCTTGGAGCAGTTGGTGAGTAGCATGCAGCCAGTAGTCCTTTGAGTGTTGGCACACAGTGCTGTTTGGAAGAGAGTTCCAGGATTTTGAGCCAGTAGCAATGAAGGAACGGCGATTATATTTCCAAATCAGGATGGTGAGTGGCTTAAAGCGGGACTTGCAAGTGGGATATTCCCATGTATCTGCTGCCCTTGTGCTTCTAGGTGGTAAAGTCATGAGTTTGGAAGGGACTGTCTAAAGAGCCTTCATGAAATTCTGCAGTGCGTCTTGTAGATGGTACACACTGCTGCTACTGAGTGCCGGTGGTGGTCGAGGTTCCAATCAAGTGGCCTGCTTTGTTTTGATGGTGTCAAGCTTCTTGTGTCATTGGAGCTGCATCCATCCAGGCAAGTGGGAGTATTCTTTAACATGCCACTTTTGCCTGGTAGATAGTGGACAGGCTTTAGGGAGTCAGGAGCTGTGTTACTTGCTGCAGTTTTCCTAGCATCTGTCTTGCTGTTGTAACCACTGTATTTATACAGCAAGCTGAGTTCAGTTTCTGGTAACAACTTTCCCTGTCCCCTGCATGTTGATAGTAGGGGATTCAGTGATTGTAATGGCTTTGAATGTCAAGGGATGGTGTTTAGGGTTATCTTTTATTGGAGATGGTCATTGCCTGGCATTTGTGTGGTGCAAAAGTTACTTGCTATTTGTTAGCTCGAGTGTGAATGTTGTCCAGGTCTTGTTGCATTTGGACTGCTTCAATATCTGAGGAGTTGCAAATGGTGCTGAACGTTGTGCAATCATCGCTGAACATCCCCACTTCTGATTTTATGATGGAGGGAAGGTCATTGAAGCAGCTGAGGATGGTTGGGCTGAGGACACTACCCTGAGGAACTCCTGCAGAGATGTCCTCATCTCGGTCAGCTGAGATGACCGACCTCCAACAATTACAACAATCATCCTCCTGTGTATTCAATATAACTGCAACCAGTAGAGACTTTTTCCCTGATTCCCACTGACAAATTTTTACTAGGGTTCCTTGATGCCACATTCAGTCAAGTATGGTCTTGATGGCAAGGGCAGTTACTCTTGCCTGTCCACTGGAATTCTGCTGTTTTGCCCATGTTTGGAGTGAGGCTGTAATGAGATCAGGAGCCACATGTTTATGGCAGAACCAGGTTCTGTTTTAGATCTGTTCGAAGCCTATCTCATTTAGCACGGTGATAGTACCACATAACATGATGGAAGGTATTCTCAATGTGAAGGCAGGACTTTGTCTCCACAAGGACTATGCAGTGGTCACTTTTACCAATACTGTTACGGACAGATGTATCTGCAGCTGGCAGATTGGTAAGGATGAGGTCAAGTATGTTTTTCCCTCGTGTTGGTTCCCTCACCACCTGCTGCAGACCCAGTCTAGCAGCTATGTCCTTTAGGACCCAAGCAGCTTGATCAGTAGTACTGCTGCTGAGCCACTCCTGGTGGTGGACATTGAAATCCTCTGCCCAGAGTACATTTTGTGCCCTTGCCATCCTGAGTGCTTCCTCTAAGTGTTGCTCAGCATGGAGGAGTACTGATCCATCAGCCAGAGAGGACAGTATGTGGTAATTAGCAGGAGGTTTCCTTGGCCATTTTCAACCCGAAGCCACAAGATTTCCTGGGCTCTGGAGTCAATGTTGAGGACTCCCAGTGCAACTCCCTCCTGATTGTATAACACTGTGCTGCCACCTCTGCTGGACATATTCAGAATGGTGATGGTGGTATCTGGGACATTTCTGTAAGATATGATTCCGAGAATACGACTATGTCAGGCTGTTGCTTGACTAGTCTGTGAGAAAGCTGTCCCAAGTTTGGCACTAGCCCCCAAATATTCGTGAGGAGGACTTTGCAGCATTGACAGGACTGTTTCAGTTGTTGTGTTTTCTGGTGCCGAGATTGATGTCAGCTTGGCAATCTGGTTTTATTTCTTCATGACTTTTTAGCGATTAATACAACTCAGTGGCTTGCTAAGCCATTTCAGAGGATATTTGAGAGTCAACCATACTGCTGTAGGTCTGGAGTCACATGTAGGCCAGAACAATTAGTGAGCCAAATGGGTTTTTCTAACAATTGACAATTGTTTCATGGTCATCAGTGGATTCTTAATTCCAGTTTTTTTCATTGAATTTAGATTTCACCATCTGCTTTGGTTGGATTCAAACCCGGGTCCCTGTTAGCTGAGTTTCTGGATTAATAGTTTTGCAATAATACCAGTAGGCCATTGCCTGCCCTGTGAAGTGCCATTTAATAGTACTGTTGACAACCCCGTCCATCACTTTGGAGAGTTGACTGATGGGGTTGATTATTGCCCAGGTTGGATTTATCCTGCTGTTTGCACACGGGACAAAGCTGAGCAGTAGTCTTCGTTGCCAGGGAAATGCTGATGGGGCTGCCCTGGAACAACTTGTCTCGGCACATGGCTTCTTCTGGAGCACTCTTCAGTGCTATCGCTATAGTATTATTGTTGTCAAGGCTCATGACCTCTGCATTCAGCCATTTCTTTCCAAGTGATAACAAGAATCAAATTAGTTAAAAACTCATGTCTGTGATGTTGGGAACCTCAGGAGGAGGCTGCGATGACCATTCAGTTGGCCCTTCTGGCAGATGGATGCAAATACTTGAGCCTTGTTTTTTGACTTGATGTGTTGGGTGAGGATGGAAATATTTAGGAAATCACCTCCTCTTCCTTTTCATTTTCCATTGCACACAATTGTCCACTAACATTCACAACTCAATGTGACAGGGTTTCAGAGCTTTGATCTAATTCATTGCTGTGGAATTGCTTAGTTTTGTTTATCACTTCCTGTTTACACTGTGTGGCACACAAGTATTTGTTTGTTGTAACTTCACCAGCTGTACACTTTGTTTTTAGGTATGCCTTGTGCTGCTTCTGGCATGTTCTTCTATATTCTTCATTGAACCAGGATTGATTTCCTGGTTTGATGGTAGAGTGGGGAGTATGTCAGGCCAAGAGATTAGAGATTGTTGAATACAATTTTGCTGCTGCTGCCCCATAGTGCCTAGTGGATGCCCAGTTTTGAGCTGCTAGATCTGCTGGAAGTCTGTCCCATTTAGCATGGTGATAGTGCCACATAACATGATGAAGAATGTAACCAAATCCTTTCATTATAATAGGATGATGGTGAAGTTGGTATTTTGAGAAGATAAAGTAAGATGGATTAAAGGGCTTGTTTGGAAAACAATTTATAATTAGATTTTACAGAATTCAAGGGAGTTTGTTGCTCACTTGATTTGGAAAATAGTATATACTGGGATAAATCCCTTCTTTAAAAATTGTATTGATTGTTACCTTTTATTTTAAAAATGGACTTCAACCAATCTTTGAATATTTTTTATGATCAAAGTCTGACTGTGAGGTTTTCTGAACAATATTTGCTCAAGACTACATAGTGAGCTAGGAGATGACCTTTGAAGAAAAGATCAGGATGTTCCAGGAACAGGGGACTTTTTGTCGATGGAGGTGAGGAAGTTGGTACCGTTTACTTTGGAAGAAGGTTTGATACAGGTATTCAAAATCATGAGGATCTGGGCAAAGTAGATAAAGTAACTATTCCTGTTAGTGGAAAGATTGAAAATGAGAGGGCACTGGTTTCATGTAATTGACAAGACAAGCAATGGTAACTGAGGTAAAGCTTTTGTTACTGCACGGTGTGGTTAGAATTTGGAATGCACTGCCGAAGATTGAAATGAGTGCAAATTAAATAATGGCATTCCAGATATTAGGGGATCATTATCTGAATAAAGAAGAAAATGAAAGATTAGGGGAGTGATTTTTATTGTTCATTCATGGTTTGTGGGTGTTACTTGTTAAAAAAGCACTTATTGCCCATTCCTAATTGCCCTTGAGAAGGTGATGGTGAGCCTCCTTGAATTGTTGCAATTTTTAGGCTATAATCCATAATGTTACTAGCAAGAGAGCTTGAGGATGGATTTTGACACCGTGACTATGAAGGAGTGGTGATATAATTCCAAGGTACTAGGTGAATTGCTCCTTCAGAGAAACAACGTGGGCATGATAGACTGAATAGCCCCATCTGTGCTGTGACTATTCTGTGATTCTATTGCAAAAGCCTAACAATTCTTATTTACCTTAACCTAAGAAGGCAGACACTCATTAGATCCTCTCTCCCTATTTTAAAATGGATTTACTGCATTGATTTTTGTTTTCTGTTTTTTTGTCATAGTTTCATAAGCAAATAATATCACCATAAATTCATGAGGCTTCAGCAGAACAATTGGCTTATGTACGATTGATGGAAAGCATGCTGGGGACCAGTCATGTGTTAGTAACTGTTACAATACTCACTTGTCCTTTCAGTAGTTGAGCTGAAAAGGTTCTTGTTTTGCAGCTGTCACCGAATCTGAATTTCTCAAGTATGAAGGAAAATTTGAAGACAATGTGGAGGCAGGTACGGAAACTGAGATTGCCAATTTAAGCTTTAGCCTGGAAGGTCAGGACTCGGTGGCACTGGAATCTTCTTTTGGAAACCTGAAGAAACAAGAAATTGATCTGGGTCAACTTTTAAAAATAGTTGAGAAAAGGTAAATAGCAGCAAGTACATAGCTCTTAGCTTATTTGTGTTGCCACAGAACAATATAAATAAATCCAAGTCTGTTTAAGTTGTTATCAGGTATAAATCACATTAAACAACAACTGCCAATGCTGGAAGCCTGAAACACACAAAAACAGAAATTGCTAGAGAAATTCAACAGGTCATACAGCATCTGTGGAGAGTAAACAGTTATTGTTCAAGTTCAGTGACCCTTCTTCAGAACATTAAAGAAAACATTCATTTGTAATGAAAATGATACAGCTAATAGTTAAGGCATTCCCTAGTCCATAATGAGGGAACAGTTGTAAATTTCCAAATTTAACTTAATTATTTGCACTACTTGGGGTGGCACGATGGCTCAGTGGTTAGCACTGCTGCGTCACAGTGCCAGCAACCCGGGTTCAATTCCACCCTTGGGCGACTGTCTGTGTGGAGTTTACGCACTCTCCCCGTGTCTGCGTGGGTTTCCTCTGGGTACTCCGGTTTCCACCCACAGTCCAAAGATGTGCAGGCTAGGTGGATTTGCCATGGCAAATTGCCCATAGTGTCCAGGGATGGGTCTGGGTGAAGTGGACTTGTTGGGCTGAAAGGCCTGTTTCCACAGTGATTCTACGATTTGCATCATGCTATACAGTAATTACACTCACATTAAATGTTTGATGAGACACAATCTTCATCGCAGTTTCTTATACTTCAAAATTGTTCTTTTACTCTTATCACAATGACTCGAATGAAACAGTAAAGAAAATGTTCCTCTCCATATCTATATCTCTGTATATCTTTACAAAAAATTACTTTATTGTAAATCTTCTTAAAAAAAAAAACTACCAATGCTTTAACATACTAGTTTAAAGTGGTGGATTTTCATTTATTTTGTTCTCGGGAGGTTAGAGTAGTGAGGTTAATGTCCTATCCGTAAATACTGGCTGTTCTGTTTTGTAGCATTAACACAGTATATTTGGTCCTAGATGGTTAGTTCAGGATCAGGAATTATTTTAATTTCTTTCTTGGGTGATATTAGGCTCAAATCTTATTTAAATGCAATTGTCTACAAGTGCAGGTTGGCTTCAATGGTTACATTATCAATTTCAGCGATAGTAGTCATTCCCTTATGTTGTCCATATGCATATCTCCTTGTGAATTAGCATAACCTGAACTGAAGGGGAACCAATCTTTGAGTTCTGGAATGCATGCTGTCTCAGGGTTTCCTCTTCAATCAGTTTAAAAGAGACCAGAATGCCAAGATGATGTGAAGCTTGTTCTCAATCGTAAAATATACTGATCAACATATAAGATCCAAGTCATTAAATTGCACAGCCTAATTTTCAGTAACGGCGTAAAATAAGCAATTTTTCATGTTACTCCCCATATCGGTTGGTCGAACAACAATGTGCCTGCCTGTACTGCCTTTTATCCAGAAGTCCAACAGTTTTGTTTTTGTCTGTGTTCTGTTCCTAAAGCCTCTCAGCTGGTGACAGGGAACCCTGTCTCTGTCTCAGACCAATTGACATTGAATGATTTTCTCATACAATGAGGGGTGTCTTTCTGAATATCCAGGAACCAATGAATAACTTATTGTTTAGTCTGTGGGAGAAATATGCTGATAATATTCACCACCATTCATTTTAATAAATTGTGAGCATAAATAATTTTTAAAATCCAGCATTTCGTCCCCAAAACTTCCAAAAATAGTCAAATATTTTAGAATTATCGGGTGGAATAGACTGGTCACAACGATGTTAATGTTAGAATTCCTGTGGAAACTCTAATTTTCAAAAAGGAAGTTCAAACTTCCAGTCAGAGATAGCAAGAACTGCAATGCTGGAGTAAGAGATAACACAGCATGGAGTTGGAGTAATACAGCAGGCCAGGCAGCATCAGAGGAGCAGGAAAGTTGAAGGGTCCTGACCCGAAACGTCAACTTTCCTGCTCCTCTGATGCTACCTGGCCTGCTGTGTTCTTGCAGCTCCACACTCTGTTATCTCAAACTTCCAGTTAATAGTTTATACGATGACACAACAAGATTTTCTGTTTCAAGATCTTGTCTGTAAGAGGCACACTGAAGGCAACACTGACTCAACATTATTTCATAGGCAACTTTAATGTTAAACTACAGGACAGAGCTTTCTCCTACTTTTAACACAAGCAAAAACTTCATTCTGCAATTGTACTTTGCACTGTACCTAAGATAGACTTTCAGTTTCTCAGACACAGTTCAAAATGATACTTAGCTGAGATGGTTTTCTCCCATTCTACTCCTTGTCCAGCCCTGTAATTTTTACCCCAGATTTGTCATTTATGTTGAGGGTTTTCCTGGACATTGTTCCTCTAGTCTAAATTAGGCAGATCAATCAGCTGCCTTTCAAATCCCCTCAATTTTTTTTTTTTTTTTTGTTTTACCACCCAAATGCAAGTACCTGCTTACATTCCTGCATGTCGGGCCACTGAGACATTTGGTCTCCAGCTGCTCTATCTCCCAGATTCTGGCAGATTGACTGCAAGCCTCTGTGGGTTTTCAGTAATATCTTAGGATTGAGTGAGGAACGGCTTCTATCTTGTGAATCCCTTGAGACTTGCGTCCAGATACAAATGCTGACTAGCTATCCATGACTCCACAGCCTCTTTTAACTTTGGAAGTAAATGGGCAGTTTAAAATATGCCTGTTTACAACCCAATATTAACTTTGGAAACCAAGCAGTTGTCATTGACAGGAGATAGAGACAGGCTTAACATTTTCTTTTATTTCCCATGTCTTCTGTCCATAAGTTGAGTGGTTTAGTTTTAAATAGTTTGTGATGTGATTCCAAGAACACTTCACACATCCAATTTGTGAAGTCAATTTTAAAGGTAACTTGCAACAAACTCCAGTTTAAACATTATATTATTCATTTGTTCATTCAAACTGGAATGGTATTTTCAACTGCACAGACATGCACAGGAATGAAACAACAAAGATAAGAGTATTACGACTAGGACTATTAAAACACTGTGTAGTTATTAATTCATATGAATGTCAATGTCCAGTTCCTTGATTTGGGAGTTATTGGTTCAGATGGCTGACAGTGGCCTTTAAAGTTCATGAAGATATATAGCAAGATGCTGTTGGTATACAAGAATTGGTCCATTCAGCAGTGAATACAAAGATCCTTCGGAAGCTGTGGAGTGATTTGAACTCTAACTCAAGACAAACTTCGCTGTCTGCCTGGAGTCCCACTTTCTGTGGATGTTACTGTAGACAGGCTGAATGTTAAAAGCCAATTGAGATGAGCTTTTCAAAATGTATGTTTAAAGCTCTTCAAAGACCAGAAAAGTTTTGGCCATATGAAATAGTTTATAGATGAGTCAGTTAGATGAATAAGACAGGCTTTTGTTGTTCTGGTCCAAATCCATTGTTCACTTTAGGAGTTAGATATGGGCTGTTAGCCACATTACAGGTGAGTAACAATTTAAGATATCTCCTTCTGATCTGTGCAGGCTTAGAGTTAAAAGGTCTCTGTGCTATCATTGACACTGTAAGCACAGCAAGACAATGTAATTTATAGGTAAGTAACTTGAGGGTGACCTCCTTAGCTTTGACTGTGTAATTACTGCTGGAAGTTTTTAGACTGTGGACAACTTGTGATCCATGTGATCTGTAGTAGCCATTTTAGAGTCCAGCAAAGTCCACTATTAAAATGAAGTATAGTTTTTCTTAACAAGTTATAAGCTATTTCACATCCTGTGGACACGACACAGCCTAACTATTGTAAATACAGATGTTGTCATTGTCTCCTAATGTGAATGCCTTTCACCTCGGTCTCGCAGTACACCGGACATCCCTTTAATTTCAACAGTCACATCGCTGAGGTCTCTATTTGGCAAATTTTGGAACAAGTCACGTAACTCCTTCATTTTTATCCTATATTAAAGACACAGTAATGAAACTCAACAATTCCATAAACCTCATTTGTAACAATGTTAGTCTTCTGTACCAGTGTATTGTAATGTTTTTAATCTTCCATTTTGAAAATAAATTATTACATGAATAAAGGCAAAACATGTTAAGCTTTTCTAGAGTAAAGTTCAATCAATTTTTGGCT